ATCCACAGTTGTGTTTGGCTCTAGGGGACGTGCTTATTTCCTTTTCCTAGCCGAGGAAGCAAGCCGCTTCTGTGGTCATGTGGTATAGGTTTCCATTGATCCACAGTTGTGTTTGGCTCTAGGGGACAGTGCTTATCTCCTTTTCCTAGCCGAGGAAGCAAGCCACTTCTGTGGTCATGTGGCCAGCATGATTATACACTTATCTTCCCACTGAAGTGGTACCTATTTATCTAATTGCATTTGCATGCTTTCAAATTGCTAGATTGGGGGGAACTGGGGCAAGAACAGAAACTTACCCTGTCACCTGGTGCTTGGTCTCAAATGCCAACCTTCTGTTGACCAGCCTAACATCTTAACTGCTAGGCCACCATACCCCTAATTTTTATTCCACAGTAAATCTTAATTTTACCCCACAATAAAACATCAGGAGTACTACAAGAATTGAGTCAGGTGTCCTAATCATATAACAGATAGACACAGATGTGAAAACTTCTCTAGTTTTGCAGAATTCTACATTTACAAAATGTTAGTGCTTCATTTAGTTTTGCAAGGAGCATCCACTTGTGGGTTCATGATAAAACCAGAAAAAATAGTTTAATAAAGATAACCTTGTATGAAACTGTTCAAACTGATGGCCTATTGTGGAAAACTAATAGTATTTTATTGAAAAAAATTGGTTGCAATACCTCTTGTTCGAGTCTCATTGACCTGCATGTAATATAGGCAACTTTCATAGATAATTGAATTTTAAGTCCATAATTCTTTTGTGGTTTAAGAACAGAAGAGCACCTGCAGTGGATGACAATATAGTCTGTGAAATGCATTTAAAAAATATCTCTCCTGCTTTATTTTTTTGTAAAATAGTAGAAGGGGGGACTTTCGGGTATGAAGACTATGTTTAAACTTTCTCTTGTTCAATTCCCCTAACAAAAATCTATATTACTTCCCATATATTTTATTTCTTTGAGGGAAAGTAGGCAGGAGTGCAGATAGTAGCTCCTAGAGAGGTTATTTTTGAGGGGTGGACTTCATCACAGGAAGAATTACTTTTTCCTATGCCTGTTACTAAATGTAATGTTTAGATAATGTTGAATTCACTAATTTATTTAATATACCTTCTATTTTAGCCCAAGAATCAATTGATTTCAATCAAATGCCTACTTTCGGAAAATTACAAGGTGAAAATAAAAACAATACTCTTCACATTTGATTCTGGCAACTGATATTCAAGCCATAGTCTTCCTAAATATGCTGATAAAATGTTTTTCTAGACCAGTTTTAAAACTATCCTTTGATGATTAGTTTTAAGGTCTCAGCCCAACTCACCTCATAGGGTGGTTGTTACAGAAAAAATAGGAGAAGGAAGGAATATTTAGTGTGTTTGCCATCTTGAGTTATTCATAAAAAAGAACAGAATTTTTAAAAAGTTAAAAAACAAAATATACTGAAAATCCTATTTCTTTTTGGGGTGAGATAGCTTTGTATTTTAATATTAATATGAATGAAGGATCTGTTGACTCTTTTATCATATTGATAAAATCTTGATATGTGCAGGTTACTTTCTCCATCCCTGAATCCAGATTTCTAGTATGTTGACTATAAATAATAGTATAACAGATACTGTACCTGCCAGTATCCTTGTCTCTCCTGACTTTCTAATATCTATTTAAAATGTTTAAAAATGAATATATGAACAATGCTGTAAATCAAAGTATCAGCCGTCTGATACATGAAGAATGCATGTAAGTCATCCGTAATGGCTATAACCCAATTCTTATTTTGGAAGGCTATTTTCCTTTCTTAAAAAAAACAAAACAAAACAAAACAAGGAAAACTAGTATTTATAGGAACATCCTGAGTTACATCCTGAGGTGAGGTTGAAGGCAACTTCACCTCTTCATGTACATGCTTTGTAACTGACTATTCACCGTTGCAATCTTTTTGTAGCAATCAATACAATATGCTGTAGAAATTGATCTACTAACTCAAAAAAAGTTGTGGATATCTGCCCTGAATGCCTTTGATCTTAATAATGAAGACAACAGGTTTTTCTTTATAAAAAACAAATTACTAATACTGTATTAAAGTTAAGACAAACTCAATGGTATTGTGGTAAGGCAAATATTTTTACACAATTCTTTTTAAATTTGTTCATCAATTTCTTTTAAGACATGAAATTAAGAATCTTTGTTTTTTATTGGGATTTTTTTCCTCTTATTTACCCACAAAGATTGCAGTTTAGGCCCTTTGTGAATGAACTAAAATATTTGAGATGATTTATCCTAAAGTTGATCAGTTTATATTTTTCATTGGATTTCACTTGATACTGAATAGATTATTCATCCAAATTTGTATATATCTTTTTGATAATCCATGAGATTTTTAACCTGTTTTTTTTAAAAATTCTGTTAATCCCCTTCACCTCTTTCAGTCACATTGTAGATATATGATCCATAATTTTAACCAGTTTGTCTCCCAAAGCTTGTTCTTGTCCCATGTTTAGGGATGTATGTTTAGAATATCAGTGAATTACTTTTTTAAAACCCTTATTCTAGCCACAGATTCACACTTTTAAAGTACTCTAAAAAACTGGATAAGCGGATTAATTTACACAAGTTTTTTTTCTGTAAAAATGTGACATCGTAAATTTAACATTAATAGCATTTTGTGGTGTCTGAGAGTAGTGAGTTACTAATTTCTGTTATATGGTTTGTTATGATGTTGGAAAATGTGTGTCATTTTACTTCTAAAAGATTGGTGTAGGACTGTGTTTTGGAATTTGAAACTTTCAGCCTTGTTTATAATTCACATTGCAGATTCCAAAACATTTTTCTAATTATGGTTTATAAGATACTTGTTTCAAGGAGAGTTGGGAATAAAATATAATGATTAATACATACTGGAAAATAAAATAAGTGCTACTCTTTAATTACATGAAGATCACATCTGGAGAATAGCACTATATAATTAAAAATATCTTGATGTTTTCGGTAAACTTCATGTGACAGATAAAGGTAAAAATGATGGTCAAATGATTCTTTTTCATCTATATAAATATTGATTTTTAAGAATAAGGCATATCAGCTGTTCCAGGCTGTAGGGATTGCCACAGACTATCGCAGCTTCGAAGCCTCGCATTTTGGCCTCGGTGCCCTATGTTTTTGGCCTCCATGCATTGTGTTTTTGGTCTTCAAATTTTAGACCCATTCCAGGCTGCATGTTGCAGCCTCCCCACGTTGCATTTTTGGCCTCCGCATGTCACGTTTCGGCCTCCATATGCCCCATTTTTGGCCTCTGCGCATTGTGTTTTTGGGTAGTTCCAGGCACTGCTGCCGATCCCTGCCGCCTGGAACTGCCCGAAAACGGGAACTATGGAGCAAAAATATATGATCAAAATGCAATTGTAAAGTCCAGCTTTTTATAATTAAAACTTCTAATTCAAAATTCAAATTCAACTTACATTATGAAATCTGTCATATTGCTTTACAGCTTATTCTTCAATTAAAACATAGGAACTAGATGAAAATAGTTTTACGTGAGTAAAAGAATATACATTATTCTACTCACGGGAACTATTGTAGTTTGGAAAATTACTGTATGAATATTTCACAATAGAGTAATATAATATAAACTATATATAATTATTTTGTTTTAGCAGAAAAAAAGACAAGAGTGAGCAAGAAAAAGAGAAGAAAAGGAAAATGCCGAAACCAGTAAGTAATCCATATGGAACCTTATTAGTATTTGGTAGACGTTTAATTCCTAAAATCCATAAATTATCCCTAATAATCACTAAGGAATATAGTGTACAAAGTGAAGGAATATTTTCCTATTTCAGTATACCCAAATGATCTATTCTTCCCTTGATCCCAAATAGTGGTAAAGCAGCTAAAATAAAATAGAATAGAGTTTTCCCGTGTGTTTAGTGCTGTTTCTTTTGTCTCCTCCTCCTAAAAAAAAAAAAAGCTATTTCTGTGTTGGAATGTGCACCTACAGAGGCAGTAGAGGGAGTTTGGCGGCACAGAACTTTCCCAGGGAGAAAACAGTATATTCTAAAGAAAAACATAAATTAAGAGACTGCAGTCCCAAGCTGGTTGTAGGTGGGGTAAGAGGTTCAGGATAGCCACACCTTAAAATTTCTCAGGATCTATATTAGGGTAGAGAATTATAGATTTAGTTTGGTAAGATTCTGTCCATTAGGTGTAAGGATCAGATTTGATTAAATTTCACTGTGTTATCTTTGGACTTGTGCCTGACAAATTTCTGAATATTTGGGGGATTTTTCTGAAAGTATTTAATACAGGTAATTTTTTATTAATGATGGCTCTGCTTAGCAACTGTTCAAATTTGCAACAGTGCTGAAAAAGTAGCTTTGTGACAGTCTTTGAACTTACGACTGTCCCAACATCCCTGCAATCACCTAATTGCTATTTGGGTGCTTTGCAGCAGCCAACAGGTTTTCATGACCCTTAGAGTGTCCTGCAGTCACATGATCACCATTTGCAAGCTTCACAGTCAGATTCTGACAAAGTCAATTGAGACACTGGCAGTAAGTTGCTAGTTGTGGTCCAGTGATATCACACAATGATTATGGATGATTTCCTTAATGACCAAAAGGGACTGAGCTAAATCTGCTGTAGTCACTTGATGCTATGTTGCTTAAGTCCCATTTTTGGTTGGTGAGTGAGCTTTACCTATAATGTTTCAATGTCTACGTGGGGGAATGGTAGAAGGCAGAGTTGAGACCTAGTGATTTTGGAGTATGAAACTTTTACAATCCTCAGCAGTCTTTAACAAAAATAAAAATATGGATTCTTGTTTAGAAACTGATTAATTTATGAAATACGTTCAGGTTTTTCTATGGAATGGAAATCAAATTTTCCTCAGATAAATTTCAGTTTTATTTATTTTTTTAAATACTTAATGAAAAACAGAATTCTAACTCTCCCATTCTTAGTAAGATTTGTTTGTCTCTGTTGCACTGATTGTGATAGAATTTGGAGCTTAGTTGGGGAGGAATAAAAAGATTTCTATCTATAGGCGAGTAGCAATAAACATACCACTCTGATCAGCTTCTTGTGTCATTTTTGATTGCTTGCGTCTGACATTAATTTTGCCAGACTAAAGCACCCACCACACAACTACTACATATACACTACAGAGAAAAGTTTTAGGGAGGATCTCCTTTCAACTACTTTGTTGCCATCTGCAACTCAAGACTAGCCAGCCTTTTTACTTTTCCCCTGGACAAAACTCTAGATTCCACCACATATCTGAGTTTCTGATATTTTTTTAGTTACTTGTATTTATCCTTCCAAATACTATGTCTGTTTTGAAGAACTAATCACTATCGTGAATTATTCAGTTATCTGTACCTTCATTTTCTGTATTATTAAAAAAAACAATTGAACATTGTTGCTTAGATATATAATTCAATTAGAAATAAATTAGTTCTGTGGCAGGAAAAAGATGGTCCAGTTGTGTTTATCTTGTTTAAATACAAATACTGTACAAAAATAATGAACTAGAATATAGACTTGGTAATAAGTAAAATTTTTGCTGATAAAATCTAATATTTATGCATGGCTCTATAATGCAGAGTTTTGTTTTTTTCTTTAAAAATATATGTTAGAGAAAGATTTTTAGCATTTTAAGAAGGCATTAGAATTTGCATCTTTCATGAGCATGGTGGATATGTAGCTACATACTTGTCTCCTTATAGCCTGCATATGGTGTATTTTTCGGAGTATAAGACGCACCGGAGTATAAGATGCACCAAGGTTTTGAAGAGGCACATTAAAAAAAAAAGTTTTTGCACTCTACAAACCACCCCAAAATGGTTTGCCCGTTTCCCCCCCCCCCCAAAAAAGGGGCATGAATATTCCTTAGGAGGCTTGTAGAATGTTCCTGGGGAGGGGGGGGCAAAAGCGAGCAAAAAATGGCCCTTTTTTGTGAAAACGGGCCCGGTTTTTGTCAAAAAAAAGTGCATTAGGAAGCTTATAGAGTGCTTCTGGGGACCGGAGGGGCAAAATTGAGCAAAAAACGGCCCATTTTTTGCTCATTTCTGCCCTCCCCAGCCCCTAGGAGCTCTCTGAAAGCTTCCTACAAGCTGTGCACAGCCATTTTGGTGAAGGGACAGGGTTTCAGGAGGCAAAAAATGCTGTATTCAGTATATAAGACACATCCAGATTTTCAGACTCTTTTTTTTTGTGAGGGAAAAAGTTGCGTCTTATACTCTGAAAAATACGGTAATGTGTGGTTTGCTAATTCAGAGGGTTAACTTTCATCTTCAGTATAATTTATCATTGGAGTATTATCATCATTAGTCATTGTATGATACAAATAGTCCTTGACTTAAAACTACAACTGGGACTGTAAGTTGTTGAGATCGTAAGGCAAGGCACCATGGGGCCAGACTCAACATGTTTACTGTTTTTTGTCAATTATTAAGTGAATCACATGGATGTAAGTCTGAATTTACTCCCCCAAGTGGGCATTTTTTGCCAGAAACCAGGAAAAAAGTCACAAATTGCAGTTGTAAGATGCTGTAACTGGTCATAAATGTGAGCTGGTTGCAAAGTGACTGGGGGAGTTGTCATGACATTCTACGCTTGGCAGAAGTGGTTTAGGCCATAAAGATCTGAGGCTGTTGTAGGTTTGAATGGTTGTTAAATAACTAGTTGTAATTCAGGGACTACCTGTGATGCATTTTTAGTACTTAATTAATTTTGCCCTGTGCCAGTGCATTAATACATACACATATATGAAAAAATCAGTGGATTACAGTACAGACTTTAATCTTCTTATGAAAAACTCACAACTGTATCATCATTTCTCCCTTGATCCACATTTCTAACTTCTGTGGAGACTAGAGACAAAGTCATGGATCCTGTCATAAATTAATTTAACAAATCTCATGGAAGGAAATTTTCTCATACTGTCTCTCTCACCCCCATAATCACAGTATTGTCTCAGAATGTATCCTTGGAAGTTGAAAAATCCTTCTGATTACTATACAGTATGGGAATCATGTATAGAGGCTACTGACAAATACGAAATTTATTTTGGAGGGATTATTTTTCCTCAGCAGCCTCTCTTATATTGCTCATGGATGTGTCTCAGTATATTTCAAGGTGTGCCACAGTGCCTTGAGGTAGCAGGTGGAAAAATTTCTACAAATTTCCATAAGTTACATTGAGATTCAAGGCAAAGAGTGTTTTGTATTGATTTGCAGGACAGGTGCAATGATTCAACTATTAATTATTTTATTCCTAAACTTGGTTGTTAGAATGTTATCTTAATTACTGTTTAGGGGCTCTTACAATCATATTTAAATAACAAATTATAGCAATGTCTACAGAACTATGGGAACTCCAACTACTGGAACAAAATAATTTGGAAAATATATACATACATACATATAAGAAAACAATTTGTTTTAAGGAAATTATGTAAATTGTACTCCGAACTTTCAGTGAAGCTCTTTCATCTTGCAGTGGATTGATTTTTCAAGGACTAATTAGGATTGGTAAAGTTAGCATTTTAAAATTATGTTATAGGTGGTGATTTCAGTTTTATTTGGCATTTATAGAGTTAAGATTTGTTACTAATGTAGTTTTTATAAGAGGATTTGTCACAAGGTTGCTGACAAATACAGCATGCTACAGTTCTGAGTGCAAATGTCAGTCATTAGGAAGAGAGTTATTCTGAAAGTAGAATGCTCCAGCTGAGTGTTCAGCTATCTATTTACTTACTGAATTTATTCAAAAAGATGAATTCTTTCTTTCTGCCCTCTCTCCTCTTGGTAAGGGGAGGGTTGACTTAGAAGATGATTTACAAGATGAAAAAGAGAGGGAGAGAGACTCCATTGCATCCTGCTGAATGTGGATGCCAAGGGAAAAGTAATGATATCAGTAGTAAACTGACTGAGTAAAGCAACAGTCTTGAACATAATTTATCTGGGACTAAGAGCTCTGTGGAACATGCTATGGAATAAACTGCATCGTTTTCCTTGTGTATGCAGCTCAGCCGAAAGCCATTTACTAAAATATACCCTTTTTGGAATCAGAAGGGAAAAGTACCTCAAGGATCCTCCCCCCCCCCCAAAATAATAATTCTATCCCATCTTACAATAAGTATGCTGAGGTAAATAGACTGGCAAGAGCCTATGCACACTTAGCTGGTAGTAAGAGTCATACAGCATAGTGGGACTTTCTGCAGGGGAAACATTTTTGTATCTTGCCCCCTCCCCCCCTTTGACCATATGTGTATATTTAATAATAATAAATAATTGTACACATTGAGTGCATTATTTTCACAGTGATTTAATTAATTAGGTAAAATTTGTGTGTATATGTACTCATATGCACACATTTGGGCAAATCTCCAGGACTGGTTTCAGTGGGCACTGGCAAATCTCCCACTGGTTTCAGTGGGCACTGGCAATAATAATTGAGAAAGTAGAGAAGTAAGACTTGCATATTTATAACTCTTTAATGCTGTCTAAATATACTTCTTTTGGAGAAAGGTTAATTATCTTAAATTCAACATGTTTTTGATAAATATAATATTTGTGTGTTTAATCATTGCCCAAAAGGTTTAGTTACAATGAATAAAATATTAATATATAAGAAAACTTCTTCTGAATTTTAATATTCTTTAGAGTTTGTGAGACGCTGACCATATCAATATCATTTGGGATTATATTATTGTTTAAATTAATATAGTAAAATGTTGTATTTATATTACATATTTTTGTTATCTGCAGATTAATGTAAGGGTTACCACCATGGATGCAGAGCTAGAGTTTGCCATTCAGCCAAACACAACAGGGAAACAGCTTTTTGATCAGGTATAAATGTTGAGTTTATGTATGTCTCCATCTTTTAATTTTTATTTTACATTTTGTGTAAATGATAATATAGTATATTTTTTGCAAAAGATAATCTATTAACACATCGAGGAATAATAGCCTGATTCTGTAGAATAGTTTTTACATTCTAAAAAAATAAAGTAAAAAAATAAACTCTAAAAAATCCATACAACTGTTATGAGATATAAGCAATATTTTTAAGTTCCTCCTTTCTTCTCATAGGTGAAAAAGATAGCATTGGTACAAAGTTAAGTTGTTCAGATCCTATTTAGCATTGGAATTATATTGCAAAACATGATAACAAAGAGAAAGATTTGATCTGTGGTTTTTCTTGTATTCATTCCAAAAAGGGCAACATCCACTATAATTGTGTAAAGTTTCCCATAAAAAAGGAAACTGTTCAAAGAATAACTTCATTGTGATTCATATTGTGGGAAGTTTACCAGAATACCTAGTTATGCCAGAAATAGAAGCAACCTGCTTAGAATGCCAAAAGCTCAGAAATAATAGCAAGAGGAAGTTTCTATTCTTGTCTTATTTGTGGGTTTCTTGTAGATATATGATTTGTCTTTGGGAAGCATGAACTGATTTTTCATTTGCTCCAAAGGAGTGTGCTGGGGTTGGGGGTGGGGGGAGATTAGCATCTCACTCAATTAAATCAGCTTACCAGTGACCACAGGCACAAAATTAGTCTGCAGCACATTATATACTTAACCTCTGTTTTAACTGTTAGCAGGACACACTTACATTCTGATAACCCAATAAAATAGTTGTCATTTCATAAAATTATCCCATATGAGAAGATTTTCTATAGTAATTTTGGTGTGTATTTAAACAAAGTTGCAGCTGATGTGACTTTGTTTAAAATGGTTTGGCATTTTTTTCAATGATAACTGCATTGCTCTGTAACTACCTGGCCATCTTTATTTCAGAATTCTTCTTTTTAATTGTAGTTATAATATTTCAAAGTTCTCTCTTGATAGGCTGATACAGATTGCTATTTTTCTTGAGGAAATACATATTTATTTATTGCATTTGTATATCACTAAATCAAGGAAGGACTTCTAACAGTTAATGACAGCAGCAAAACATCCATGGCAAGATGATTCTTTGATATTGATATGATTTTATTTTTTAGGTAGTAAAAACAGTTGGCTTACGAGAAGTCTGGTTTTTCGGATTGCAGTATGTGGACAGCAAAGGGTACTCAACTTGGTTGAAATTAAACAAAAAGGTATTTTTTTACTTTAAAATAACTCTAATATGTTTGGTGTAGCAAAAGTATCAAAGGTAGAATACCATATTTTTCGGAGTATAAGCTGCTCTGAACTATAAGATGCACCTTAGTTTTTGGAAAGAAAAATGGGGGGAGGAATTTCTGCCTACCAAGTATTCATCTGACTAGTGATCTTCAGCACAGCTTCAGCACATTAGTTCACTGGTTGTGAGTGTGCTCACATGCGCCTCATTGGGGCTGAATAGCAGCTTCTAAAGCACAGCTGATCGTTGTAGGGAGCTGCAATTAGTAAAGCAGGCCAAGTGCAGAAGAGATAAGAGAAGGCAGCAGTTGTTCTGTGTTGCCATTTTGGGCTCCACGCCTCACATTTTCAGCCTCCAAACACTGATCGCCACCTGAAAACGCGACGTGCAGAGGCAGTGATCGATGGTGATGTGCTCTGGCGATCACAGACCTTTGAATGGGTCTCAAATGGACCATTTGGAGGCTGAAAATGCGAGGCATGGAGCCCAAAAATGCAAGCCATTGTCTGGCAACCTACAGCCAGGAAGAGGACGCACGGATGCCGAAGGGTGGGGGTTGGCAGGGCTACATTCGGAGTATAAGATGTACCCAAATTTTCAGCCTCTTTGGGGTGTGTGTGTCTTATACTCTAGAAAAAACAGTAGATACATTCTGAAGATTATGTTGAAAGTCAAGCCAATGCTGATACTAGATGGCTGCCTAATGAATGAAAAAAAGAGTAAGCTGTAAAATATATTTCTAGAGCATGTGTGAATCCATTTCTAAGTTTTTTTCCCTATTTCATGTCAGTCTAGTTTTATAGAAAATAAAATTGCTTCCAATCTAAATGACATGTTTCTCAAAGGTTGTGGTGTATTCAGTTCTCTGATAGCAGGTAATATGGAATGTCACTGAAAGCAGATAATAAAATAGATACGTATATTCCTCCTGGTACATTTAAAAAAAAATCTTTCTCCTACTCCTAACTAATCATGGGAGGATTGGGGTGCTTTTAGTTAATATATACCTGATAAATATCCAGCATCCAAGGAGAGCTAAAGTTTCAATAAGTAGGGTAAGTAGAATTGTTGGGCTCATCTGTGTGGTAGAGTTTTGATTTTCATATACTGTAAGGCAAGCATTCCAGCTGACTAAACTTATTAGCTTTCACATTTCTTTGTGGGATGAGGCACTGAAAGATAGGCAAGAGAAGATTATTATACTTGCATCCCATGAATCATAAATCATTCTTCCTAGTAGTAAAGGAAGCTGGTAAGTGCTGAGAGACCGCCTGCTGCCAATTACCTCACAAAGACCCATTAGATCACACAGATTAGGCCTCCTCCCGGTTCCGTCTACTAGCCAATGTCATCTGGCCACGACCCGGGGGAGGGCCTTCTCTGTGGCGGCTCTGGCCCTTTGGAACGAGCTCCCCGCAGAGATTCGGACCCTCACCTCTCTCCAGGCCTTCCGAAAAGCCGTTAAAACCTGGCAGGCCTGGGGTCGATGAGTTCCCTTCCCCTCCCGAATCGTGTGGCTGTTGGTTTGTTTTATATGCCTTGTATTTCTTGTGTAGTTTTTGTGTTTCCCTTCCCTTCCTTGGGTTTGTGCGTCGCCCTGAGTCCCGTAGGGAATAGGGCGGCATATAAATAAAATGAAACTCAAACTCAAACTCAAACTGATCACATTGTGGCACAATGAGGTGATTGAGAAACAAGAGGATTGTACTGGTATGCTCCAGGAAACTCTCAAGAATAACAGAACTATAAAAAGTATGTAAGGGAAAAAAAGTAAGGACGTACTATTCCTAACTTGATAACATGATTGTCTGGATTAGAAAAACTAAAACATAATTAAATCAGGGATGGGACATTTTCTAGGACTTTAAACAAGAGAATAATATGCCGTAACATTTTTCTGCCAGCATTACTTACTCTTCCTAGAGTAGTCTTAATTGAGCAATATTAACTAAAGGCAATATTAACTAACGACCATAATTGAGCCCAAAATTTCTGTTGCTAAGCAAGACAGTTGTGAGTTTTGCCCCCTTTTTTTAGCTTTCTTGCGACAGTTAAGTGAATCGCTGCAGTTATTAAGTTAGTAACATAGTTGTTAAGTGAATCTGGCTTTTCCATTGACTTTGTTCGTCAGAAGGTCACAAAAAGTGTCCACATGACCCTGGGATACTGCAACCATCATAAATATAAACCAGTTGCAAAGCATCCGAATTTTGATCACGGGATGCTGCAACAGTCGTAAGTGTGAAAAATAGTCATAAGTCACTTTTTTCCAGTGCTGTCACTAAACAAATTATTGTAAGTCGAGAGCTACCTGTATAAATAGGGGCGTGCACTACCTGCCTATCGTCTCTGTCATTGTATTTTTCCTTTTATTCTTGCTCTCGTTTTTGTTTGACAAGTTCTAATAAAATAAATAAATAAAGTATTTCTTGTTCCTCAATATTTTACTTTAGTGGTTTTTAAACATTTTTTCATTTCAGTTCTTGCTAAACTTCTCAGTGGTATTTCATGTGCATAATGCTTATTAGGGGCAGCACAATCACTCAGTGGTTAAGACTCTGGGCTTGTCAAGCTGGAAAACTGACAGCTTGAGCTTGGAACCCAAGCATCACATGACAGTGTTAGTTCCTATTACTCACCCCAGCTCCTGCCAATCTAGCAATAGCAATAGCACTTTCACTTATATACTGCTTTATAGTGCTTTACAGCCCTCTATAAGCGGTTTACAGAGTCAGCATATTGCCCCCAACTATCTGGGTCCTCATTTTACTCACCTTGGAAGGATGGAAGACTGAGTCACCCTTGAGCCTGGTGAGATTTCAACTGACAAATTGCAGTCAGGAGAAGCAGTGCTGCACTCTAACCACTGCACCACCGTGGCTCATAGCAGTTTGAAAGTGTGCAAATGCAAGTAGATAAATAGTTATCATTTTGGTGGGAAGAAAACAATGTTCTGTATTTTCATGCTGGCCACATGATGACAGAAGCCTTTCTCAGACAATGCATGCTCCCTCTGCTGAGAATTGGAGATGAGTACTACTCCCTTGAGTCGGTCACAATTGGACAGGGGAAAACTTTAAGCCTTTAATGCTTATTAATCATTGGCAGATGCATTCAAAATATAGTTTCCACCGATTGAGATGGAAAAATATAGCTATATCTCCAATGTTTAAGTTTGATTTATTGAAATCAAATGTATAGCCAATCTATATATAAATAGGCTGTCAGAGTTGAGTTTCTTTAATAAATGTTGGCGAATTCCATTACTTATTGTGATCTTATAATATGTTTTTGAAATACACGTTCTGAAAGGTCTCATGCTTCCCTAATTATTTAAATCTCTCTAAATCACATGTCCTTCAATGCTGTACTTTTTAGATTAAATTGCAAAACATGACAAGTGGTGATAGATTACTTTTCCCAATATTTTAATGTTCTCTTCATCCTTTGAATTTTTGTACTATAGCACATATTTATATTTTATAATTTATGTATTTCATTTTAGGTAACACAGCAAGATGTAAGGAAAGAAAATCCATTTCAGTTCAAATTTAGGGCAAAGTTTTTTCCTGAGGACGTTTCCGAAGAATTGATTCAAGAAATAACTCAAAGACTCTTTTTTCTGCAAATCAAAGAAGCTATCTTGAATGATGAAATCTATTGTCCACCTGAAACTGCAGTTCTGCTAGCTTCCTACGCTGTTCAAGCAAAATATGCTGATTACAATAAGGAAATACATAAACTAGGATATTTAGCCAACGACAGACTTCTTCCTCAGCGGTAAGAAATTTCTGGCTATATCAAAATTTAATTGTATCTAAAATATCTGTTTGATAATATGCCTTAAGTAATGTACACTATGAACAATGCAGTACATAATGTGATCTGAATTCGTGATTAAGCCAGTGTTATTAAATATGTATTTTCTCAGTGTTAAAGTAAAATGGCTGCACGTATTGCTTGGAGATAATTAGAAGCTGAATATGGAAAAACAAGGATACCTGGCAACCAAATGTAGGTTAGACCGGTCATGATCAGTCAGTAACCAAATATAGGTTAGACCAATCTATTGGGTTCCCCATAGCTATCTATGGTTGTGAAAGTTCGAACTAAAAAACAAATCAGGAAGAAAATTTTCTCATTTGAGATGTGCTGTTGGAGAAGGCTGCTGAGTAGTCCTTGGACAGCAAAGATGACTAATAAGCAAGTACCGGAGCGTATAATACCAGATATGTCACTAGAAGGCAAAATTACAAAACTGTGTCTCACTTATTTTGACCATGTCATGTGGTGGAGTTCACTGAAAAAAAGCAATTATGTTAGGAGGAGTTGGTAATAAAAATAAACCAGGCTGTTAAAGAACATGGTGCCTGGACACCACCAAAGCTGGCATCATCCAGAGCATAGCACTCAAAGAATTAGCATAGGATTAGAAGATGTGGAGAGACCTGGTCCATAGAATCACCAAGAGTTAGGCATGATTGAATGGATAACATCATCATCAGATAATATTAAATGTGCATTCATCTTCTTATGTTTGTGTGAATATACAATATTCAACAGTATAAAGAAAAGTAAAATATATGATTTTGCTTAATATTTTATTTATAGAACAGTTAAAATGCTGTAGTACAAATAATATCAAGGCAAAATGAGCTAGGAGCAAATTTCTGATACTATCTGTTTCCACAGCTAAATATTATTAGGGTTTATTTTTGGGGTGGTGGTGGTTAAAATGATGCATTACATAAGATAAAACAGTCAATTTCATTGGTGGTGGGTGCTTCTGAAATCTCTTTATTACAGCTGTGCCATTAAATTGCATTTTTAAAATTGAGTAAGATACCACTGATGATTAGTCATCAGTTTTTGGGTAATTGTGCTGCTATCTCTCCTCATCCAAAGAATTGCTTGATTCTGTTATTTGTTTTCATTTGGATTGTCTTTAACCCATCCTGATTGCTGTGAAGTTAGAGGAAAAGTATAGGGCTTTCTAATATAGGAGGTTGGGATTTCTGGAAGTTTAACAAGCTACTTGATATTCTTCTGGCATAATTGACTGTATCTTCTACATCTTTTGCTATGGGATATAGTGAAGAAGTCCAACTAGAATGGTAGGGAGATTGTCTTTGCTGTCTTTCCTATCCTTTTGCAAACAGGTAAGTTTCTTTGTGAGAGGGGCAGCCTTACAAATACTTGAAATAAAAATAAATGCATTTTGTTTTGATAGTGTTTTGGAACAACATAAACTGACAAAAGAGCAGTGGGAAGAAAGAATACAAAATTGGCATGAAGAACACAGAGGGATGTTAAGGTAATTTCTATATTACTTTTGTATATAATTTGAAAATTAATTTCCTTTGGTTTAATAGTTATTTTTCTCCTAAAAGAATCTCTGTTACTTTTGAGTGTATACGTGAAATAGGTTATTCAGAGAGCTATTTTAATTTACTCAGTGAACAATATTTAATTTTTAATAAGTATTCCTGTTTATATTAAGTCAGCATATTCTTATGTTTTCAATCTGGCAATAATTAACCTTGACCACATCATCTTTGGGACTGGTGCTTACTGAAATAATTAGAACTTATTTACTACTAAAGTTAGATGGAATTTAGTAAATACAATACTTAAGTATTTTTCATCTATTGAGAATAAAGGAGCGTAGAAACTAATGTTTGCAGGCCTATGGTTATTATGCATTTTATATGGTTTTAAATTATGTTATTTTTATTGTCAGGGAAGATTCTATGATGGAATACCTCAAAATTGCACAAGATTTGGAAATGTATGGAGTCAACTATTTTGAAATTAAAAACAAAAAAGGAACTGAGTTATGGCTTGGTGTTGACGCTTTGGGTTTGAATATTTATGAACATGATGACAAGTAAGTAGCATAATACTATTCTGTTGTAGTACAGCTTCAAGTGTTATATTTGAAATAACTTTCTAATATATATTTAAAATATGCTTGAGAATACTGTAGTAGTATTTCTTTTGACAGAAGTAGACTTCTGTCTATTACAGAAGGCAAGATGGAGCAGAGAAATCTAATAAGGAAAAATCCTTTTGTTTTAACAGATGCAGATGCGTTTTGTGTCTGTCTTTTGAAGCCTAGACCTATGTCTCTTTCTGCATTTCCCCCCCATAACTAAGATTCTTTCCTTCTTTCCTAAAGGTTGACTCCGAAGATAGGTTTTCCTTGGAGTGAGATAAGGAATATATCATTTAATGACAAAAAGTTTGTGATAAAGCCCATTGACAAAAAGGCCCCTGTAAGTAAATATGCTTGAGGTATAATCAGCATATCTGTTCTTTTTTTCTGTTTCTTAGATTTCCAAATAATGTATTTTGTGACTTACAAATTTATTTTGCTTTTATTCATGATTTGTTTTTCAATTACTGTTTGACTTATTTATGGTGCCAATGCCATTCTTTTTTAGTTATGTTGGAATTAATTCTAAGTTGTTACCTTTATTTCTTTCTGAATTAGAGTTTTTAATCACAAACTAGTGCATTAGAATGGTAAATACTGGACTAGTAGAATAATGATAAGATTGATAAGACAAAAGAAATCTGGATAGTGGACATTTAAATATTTGGAGCCAGCAGAATAGACAAAAAAGAACTAAAAAAATATCACACAGTATAAAATATCTGCAAACAGAAGTAGAACAAGAACAAAGAAACCAAAATATAATACCAATATTAGCAAGTATTTTGGGTGCAATTCCAAAATATCGGGAGCACCCTTGAAACCCCATCAGCATTGACAGAATCATTATCAATTGCAAAGAGCAATATGTGGAACAGGTTACATCCTGCAATGATACTTTTAATATTATTAAACAAAAACATCTGCCTAAACATCAACATCTGCCTAAATAACAGCATTTGACTTAGGTTGTTCCACACACCCACAACAGATGTAAAATCAGAGCTTTTCCATTATGCCTCATATGTTGTGAAATAGTCTTCCCACATAATGATTTAGCAAATCTTGGCAAGTTTCAGGTAGGTCTTGAAGACAAGACTCTTGCATAGAATACTCAAAGCCTTTTTTTAAGGAATGTTTGACTGGCATCGAAACTTTCCCCTCCGCTTTACTTTTTTTCTATGTGTATATTTTACATGGCATTCTTGTAAATCAGAGTTAATCAGTTGAGGCCTCAAATATTAATACTAATATTAAGTGTGCTAACCTCAGGGCATAATAAACATATGATTGACTTAGACCAAATATATAAATTAGCTTAGTCAATCAATATGGTATTGGGAGTATAACAGTAACTTTGAAATATATTATATATGAAACATCTGATGCTCTTGGGAAGCTTTCCTAATCTGATAGCCTCCAAATGTGATTGACGTCAACTCTAATAATTACTAGTTAAGATATTTTTATTATTTGCATGTGCGTAATCAAAATTATGGCATACTCCAGCTTTAATTTGGTTTTCTGCCTAAAAAGAGCAGGAAATAACATACTTGTATATCAGCAGCTTGCTGATTTATGGAAATCAACATTTGTGGAAAAAGTTCTTGGTTTCTGATGATAGTCAAATACTCAGTTGTGTATGGGTGTGTGGGTGCATGGAATTTGTGGTTTTCTTGCCTTAACTAAAAGCCCCAACTAACTAATTTTTACATAATTTTTCTATTGTAATCTTTTGTAATATTTTTCTAAAATGCAGTTAACTAGACCCCCAATTAATGATTTAAAATTTAACTACAGTATAGATAACTTCATATTTTATTCTCAATAATAATTGAGATAATAATACTAATAAACTTTTTCATTGATGTAGTTTATTGTCTAAACGTTTTAACTGATGACCTATATCTATGTATGTTATTATATTTTCTTTTTCTTTGTTCATAATTTTTAAAGTGCAAGTTGAATTTTCTTCACCATTTTGTTATATAATGATTCCAGTTCTTTTTAAAACACTTTTCACTTATAATTTACTACATTGCTGTAAATGGGTTTGTGTTTCTGAGTAATAGCATGCTAATTCTAGATCACTGATATGTTTTAGGACAGCTTTAACTAGTTCTGTTACAGAGTAATTAGTGAAAGACTGATGCTGAAATCTGATTTAAGCAAAAACTGCTTTTATTAATAAACCGTTATGTTACTCAAAATGTGGCCATTTTGCTAACTTAAATATTTTTCATTAGGATTTTGTTTTTTATGCACCCCGTCTGAGAATTAATAAGCGGATATTGGCACTATGCATGGGAAACCATGAGCTATACATGAGAAGGAGAAAACCAGATACAATTGAAGTGCAACAAATGAAGGCCCAAGCTAGAGAAGAAAAACACCAAAAACAATTGGAGAGGTAGGATATTTGCAATTAATCTTGGAGGTTGAGATTCTGGTAGCAAATTAGTTTGAAAATTAATTTCATGTTCTATCTTTAGAAGAGTTCCTTGAAGAAAAGTATGACCACAGAATGAGAATGAGTATGAGACAGAATTATCTGAAAACAATGGGGGACAATACTTATTAAACAGAGCTTATTAATGTGTGTCTTATATCTCTTACAAATTGTTTGTACCATTTTAAGCAATATTATCAGACTGGGTACAGTGCTGAGTGATTCTTGGTCCTTGAGGCAAAGTGTTTATAGTACTACGATTTGCACTTTGTTACTGGCTCTAAAAATATGGTTCTCCAGCATTGTGGCCCAATTCCAAGAAAGTACAGTGAGAACAGTTTGCTTATTTTAATTAGACTCTACTGGAAACCTGATACTTTTGGGAAAAACAAAGTGCTTGTACTGACCCGTTTACTATATGTTCTCTTAGGTAACACCAGATTGTTATGTACTAGGTAGGCTGAATCTTAATATATATTGATGTGATATTAAGGGGAGTTCCAGTAAGTGCAACTTTCATATAAGCCTTAGCTATTATCATAAGTTGCCAGATTGGGCAATTACAATGTAAAACTTCTGTTTTCCCATGGGAGATCAGTGATTGTTCTATTACACAGCAATAGTACTGTACAGTACAGTAATATTCCAGTCCAAGTTCAAAAGTTTCTTGTGCAGCATGCTAGGATCATGTGTTAATTGCATAGTAAATTCTTATTCAGTGGAATGAAGTAAAACATCTACTCACTGTATTAGGTGATTATCAGCTAAATGTTTTGTTGCATTTGGTAACTGACTGAAATGTTTGGGATTTGGACCTTATTTTTTTAAAAAATAGCATAGGCCTGCCTGGTGTCATCCAGGTATTATGGGACCACAGGTTGATGAATTCCTAGCCAGTATGGTTGAAGGCCATAGTTACTCACTATTGTGAGATATATCAGCCAATTATTATTCATTTTAAATGCAACAATATAAGCATTGTAAAACCTGTTTTTTCTGCAAGTAGGATTTTATCAGTAGATCACTTAGCATATGTTAGAATAAATTGTGTGTGTTTGAGTAAATTGATTTATTCAGGGTGTGTGTGTGTGTGTGTGTGTGTGAATACTGTTTGTTCACATGCTTTCTTTTTACCTATCTCATTTTCTTTAGAGCCCAACTAGAGAATGAAAAAAAGAAAAGGGAAATAGCTGAAAAAGAAAAGGAAAGAATAGAGCGTGAAAAAGAAGAATTGATAGAACGACTAAGACAGATCGAAGAACAGACAATGAAGGCCCAAAAAGGTGAAGACTTTTTATATATTAATGACAGGACATTATGTTATGATTTGAAAAGCTGTTACACATCTTATAAAAACATTTATTATTCAAGTGAAGAAAATATTAGCCAATATTATAAAAATATTTATTCTGCTTTCTTGCAATTTTTATCTGTTTTAATGGCTTGACTTAAGACACTAGAAAGCAGTAATTCCCCTAACTGCTGCATGAGAACTGATAGTGTGCTGTGAGAAATAAACAGCATAATTAGTGGGGTTTGGCAACTCTGCGTACCCACCCACAGAAGACAAATGCAAACCATACTTTGTAACTTATTGGCAAATTCTGGGTTTGTTCCAACCAGTTGGGGAATCAGTCTAAAGTACATATTTTGCATAAATCAAACTGGAATCTTGGAATAATCATTAAGAGCTAAATATCTAACAATGTATAGATGGGTAAAATTCCCCGTTCTTAAAAACTTGCCAAGGAATTTTGAAATATATATCTTGTTTCATTTGCAAGTATGACCTGAGGACTTTAAAATTAGATGAAGTATTTAAAATACCTTTGCAATTCATTGAAGCATATCAAATCAGATAGCTTGTCCATTTAGGCCAGGGTTGTCCACTTTTGCTTGGCATTCCAGGATTTGGGCAAATGAGTTTTTCATTACTTAGTACAGTATATATTATTGTTAACTGAAGGTGCAGGATGTTGTGCGTGAATTCTGCCTGTGTGCACAGCATAAACTTTACAATAGAGCAATGGTTCTCAATCTGTGGTCCATGGACCCCTCGGAGACCGTGACATCAGGGGTCTAGGTTTGAAGAAACATCATTATTTAAATCAAGTTAAGTCTTGGTGATCTGTGGCCATAGTCCCTGGCCACAAAAGATATTTAAAGGGGGTCCATAGTGAAGAAAAGATTGACAAAGTGTTTTTTACTTCCTGTAATACTGGGAGTGTTTGCCTTTCCAATGGAATATTCAGATACGTAGTGGACGGGTGCAATGGTTTGCAGGCTAGATAGTAAGACCCTTTCTTCTTCTAGTTCTGAAATTTTATTTAAAACATGCCTGCTCATTTCAGAAAAAGCAAGTTCATTGAGAAAAGTTCAGAAAACATTAGAATTGGTTTTTTGAATGTAAAACTGATGGGACTTCTAGTGGAAACAAATTCTACCTGATGACTTCATGCCATCGTAGACAACTTTATTTTCTTGATTAAAACTAGCAGCAAGGCCAGCAGTAGTTTTTGTAGGCATTATTTAATTCTGTATTTCTAATCTGGACTGCTAAAACTTGATTTTTATTTCTTTGACATAATGAATATTTATACAGAACTGGAAGAGCAAACAAGAAGAGCTCTAGAGCTGGATCAGGAACGAAAAAAAGCAAAAGAGGAAGCAGAGCGCTTGGAAAAAGAACGAAGAGTTGCTGAAGAGGCAAAAGCTGCTCTTGCAAAACAGGCAGCAGATCAGATGAAGAATCAGGAACAACTAGTAAGACTTCTCATACAAAGTTTTGTTAGATTGGGTTAAAATGTGGTGTTGTCATTATGCCATGGTGGCACAGTGGTTAGAATGCAGTATTGCAGGCTGACTCTGTGTACTGCCAGGAATTCGATCCTGACCAGCTCAAGATTGACTCAGCCTTCCGACTTCGGTAAAATGAGGACCCAGATTGTTGGGTGCAATATGCTGACTCTATAAACCGCTTAGAGACAGCTGCAAGCATTGTGAAGCTGTATCTGAGTCTAAGTGCTATTACTATTGCTGTTGTCATAGGAATGTTAAAGCGGGAGAGGGAAGATCACCTTGGGGAATCTAGAGTGGACAATGCATTAGAGTGGTGATAGGCAAGGGCTGCCATAGGAGCCAACAAGCAGGCTGTTACAGGGAAAGATGATCCAATATGCAGCATTGTGTTCCAGCCCCTTGAGCTCACTCTCAGCCTCTGCTGGTGAATGCCAAGTTGGTCAATGATAAGGCTCTTTTTATTCAAGACCTCATTGAGGAGAAATAAATTCCATAATTTAATTAATTAGTTGACTGACTAATTGAATGAGGAGAATAAACTGCTATCTTATATTATACTAGTATATTAGTGGAATGCTTTTTCCAAGACAGCTTTCTGCCTCCTCTTTTTTAAAAAGTCAAACATTCTAACAGACTTGTACTGTAATGATTTTATTTTTATGATGCCTCTTATTTGAAACATCTGTATACTGTTCCCATTTAAATTGGCTAATTTTAATAAAATATGGTGATTTTTATATTGCGATGGTTTTGCTTTGTATGAAGCATAATTGAGATTATGTCTCCAAGAAGAAAACATCTCATTATTTCTAGAAAACATATGTAAGGATTGCATGGCAAATATTTTGTGAGTCAGTGCAAGGCAAATTCATTTTTAATTATCTTGAGCCTTTTACTTCACTATTTATGACTATATGCATTTGTGTTTTAGAAAATACAATTATAAGAATTATTTGTTTTAGTTTCTGGTATGTGTTCATATAGTGGCTCTCTGTATTTTAAACTACTTTTAAGGATGTTCTTAATTGTTACTGGATTTTTGCTGGATTGTATTGTGGTACTTTGAATATGGTTTTGTCATTTAGAATAAGTTGACTAAATAAGTTGAAGTTCACAAGTTGAATAAAATTATAATACCAAAATTATAAATGTTTTTGTATTTTAGATGATTTTATGAGGTTGTTCAGAAAATAAAAAAAAACTCTTCTTGCCTCATAGGCAGCAGAACTTGCTGAGTTTACTGCAAAGATTGCACTTTTGGAGGAAGCCAAGAAAAAGAAGGAAGAAGAAGCTTCAGAATGGCAACACAAAGTAATTCTTTTGTAAACTATTGCTAGATTTTTTTTGATAGTAAAAGATTATAAACTCTGTGTTGGAGTCCCCCAATTTTTAACATCTTTTGTGAAATTTGGTCTACTGAAAAATGTATTTTTAAGTATTCTGGAGCCTTATTTTGTATTAATACTATTCCATCCTCATCAGAAGAACAATACCACATTCATATTTGCCCATTTTCTTTTTCCCAGGTAGAACAAGTATTATTTGATACAGTATATAGGTCTGTCTATCATTTATCCCCAAATAATTTCCCTCCAACATAATTCAAAACGTTTTCACTGCCTCTGGTTTATGAGTATTAAAGTTATTTTTATTTGCAACTTTTTAGGCTTTTTCAGCTCAAGAAGATCTGGAAAAGACCAAAGAAGAATTGAAAACTGTAATGTCAGCTCCGCCCCCACCTCCACCCCCACCAGTAATTCCTCCCACAGATAATGAACATGATGAACAAGATGAAAATAATGCTGAAGCAAGTGCTGAACTGGCTTCTGAAGGTATCATGAATCACAGAAGTGAGGAAGAACGTATTACAGAATCACAGAAGAATGAACGAGTAAAGAAACAACTTCAGGTAAATAAGCCTGATAGAAACTTGTCATATAAGCTGAAAACCAAGGACTTCTTAAGGATTGAGTTTAACCTCAAATTAGGAGCTTTTTATATTGATGTCCTTCTGGATATCTCCCCCTTAGAATATGAAATCTAATGGTGCATGAGATGTTCTTGGTCAACATGGGACACATAGTTGTGTTGATTTCAGTTCCCATACTCAGCGGCCAATCTGGAACATCTAGAATGACTGTTGAAGTCTCCTGACTCTTCTACTCCCACAAACTCTGAAAATTATTATAGTTTTATTGATGCTGTTGAAATATTGTGCTAAGCTTCCTTCCTCCTTACATCTATAATAGATGTAATAGAGATAAAGGAAGTGTTTGCTTTTTAAAAACATTAAAACTGGAAAATGGGATTCCTGACAATATTGTACTAGGCAATAATAAGCATTCTGAACTACAAAAACGTACACAATGTGCTGAGAAGTGAATCTTTGAAATGGGCAAATAAATTATTTTAATGCAGTTCAACAGGTAAAGTAAGAACAAATAAAATGCCTCTGCTTTCCAGCATATATGTATTTTAATGGTTTAAACAATGGATTTGGCATGTAAATAACTAATCTCATTTAGTTTTATAATTGTATATATAAATTTTGGACAATTATTTAAAAATAGTAACAAATAAGGATACTGTCAAAACAAACATTGGAGTGCAGTGCCAACTATTTTCAAACAAATACATTAGACCAGGGGTGTGAAACTCAAGGCCCAGCGACCGGATCCTCCCCTCAGGGTGCTTAGATCTGGCCTGCGGGGGTTGTCCTAGAAGCAGCAATGGACCGACCCGTGGTCCCTCTGCTGCACGCAGCCCTCCCAGGCTCCATTTTCGCTGGCAGAGCACTCGGGCCACTACAGACGCCCTGACACAAGTGACATCAAGCTGGCCATGCCATTTGGCCACGCCCACCCCGGCCCCTGATGTCAAGCACAACCCTGATGCGGCTCTCAATGAAATTGAATTTGACACCCCTGCATTAGACTAAATGCAGACTATAAATGAGTCATACTGTATTTTTAAAATAATGGTAACAAAATATTTTGTCATTTGTCTCAGGCTTTGTATTTACTTTTAGCTTTCTATATAATGATACTTCCTTCCTTTTTCTATAAACTTTGTTTAATTAGAAGACTAAAATAAGTTAGTCCTATATAATAGATTGTTGAATTTGATGGGTAGAAATGTTATGGTGATATCTAACCCCTCAATACTTGTATTGAATAGGCTCTCAGTTCTGAATTGGCGCAAGCCAGAGATGAAACTAAGAAAACCCAGAATGACGTACTTCATGCTGAAAATGTTAAAGCAGGCCGTGATAAATACAAGACTCTTCGACAGATACGCCAAGGCAATACAAAGCAGCGGATTGATGAGTTTGAAGCAATGTGAGAGCCATTTCTTTGCATGTATGTTCTCCATTAAAGTTGAACCACCAGCAGAGAAATACAGGCCTTTCCACAGATGAAAGGATCACACATCACCTTGCCAAAGCACTTATACCAGTTTGTGGTTAAAACATATTTCAAAAAAAAAAGTTCAATAATAAGGCAGTCGATCAGCTGTGGCTCTCTGGAGGTGAATGAGAAGGTTTCCATGTTTTTATATTTTCATGCTTTTTCCTTTGAAGGAACAGCAATCTCATGTAGCAAAGCTGTTAATTCAAATATTGATAATTTACCTTACAACTGACTTCAGTTTGGCATTTGTGCACTTTGGCTTGTTTGTTTTAATTTAGCAAATTGGTGAGGATTTTGATATTGCTAATTTTTAAGGGCTTCCCTTTGTAGGTTAGAATTTTTTGGTGTTTCATGTCCTGTCATCATTGATGGTTTTCTTTGCCTGCCTATTCACAAAGGTCTTGATGGTAGGTGGCTGTTCCAGCACTTTTTTCATTCATATATATGTTACATATGTATATATGAACATTTAGCCTTCTCCTTGTTAAGTAAAGACCTGTAGTCTTTTGCTTGTTAAGTCTGTTATAACTAAGTTTTTAGTTCTTCAAATAAAAGCAGGGAACATTCTTTAGTTTGTCCTTCCCTTGCATTCATTGGATGTTATTACAAATTGTAGTATGGGAAACCTGGATCTTTCTGATAAGGGAGCATATGAAAACATCAGTCCCAAGAAGGGGACAGAAGCCTACCTCACTGTAATAAACATGATGACTGGTTCTTGAAACACCACATTGAAATGCTAACAGTGTGAAACTATGTCCTGCATAGCTAAACACTACAAGAATCTAGGAGCCTTTATTCTTTAATATTTTGTTATATTACATGTAGATTTATAGTATTCAAGAAGTGTTCAGCTGCCTTTTTGACAAGTTACATTTTAAATCATGTATTTTTAATTTTAACCTGTCACTGGTATATTATCCAATAAGAGGTGTGAAATGTTTGGTTATGTTTTCTGAGTACCTTTGTACTGAATTAACATTGTTGCAAAACATTTAATGAAATCAGTGCATAAAACAATGCTCTCTTGCGCTCAGTTGTAGGGCCCACTTGCACATTCTTCCCGTTCCTCCCATGTTAATTCTGAGAATATCTATGCTTTGTGTTTTCAGAGAATGTAGTCACAAGAATTGTGGCAGAATGAGGCATGAGCAGATTTTTAGGCTGAAGTTCAACATGCACTCAAAGAATATTGAACATGTGTGTTGGAATCAATATGAATCACTCTTACCTATGGAATGGCTAATTGGCACCTTGTGTTTGAATACCATATTTGTGGAAGTGACACTGAAATTATTTACCATATTTAGTGAACTTTAGGAGTTGGCAGAAAGAAGTCCTGCTTTCTCTGAGGATGGTTCAGCTCTGTTATGTTTGGTATTATGCACTCAACTTTATACTTATCTATGAAAATTGCCATTTTATTAATCATTCATGCACAGGTTCCTTAGAAACCCCACTGAAAGTTAGGGGCTTTCCCCTGACTCAAAAGGAAGATACTGTGAAAGTTACATACATACCCATTATTTTATGGAAAAATGATAGCTGAGCAATTTTGCATAGACTGGTGTGCAAATATTGTGCATGTGCTCAAACGTCTGGTTGCCCTGGATACTTCTGCTTCCACCTGCAGGATTGGGCAAATGCCTTGCATCTTTTCATGCAATGAATTCTGAGATATGGATTTCTAAAGTGTTCAATACTTTTGCCATAACAGGTGGAATGTTGTGTATGGTTCTTCCCTGAAATAGGTACACATGCATTGTCATGTTAATCTATTACTAAGGAAGAAGGGGAAAGAGAAGTACCAGTAGAATTTGCTGTTCAATAATCTACAGTGTATAGTTTAGTACTTAAATAGATCTAATCTGTTTATAAAACTGTGAATATTTTTCTAGGAATTGACATCTGTAATAAGGCTTTTCACCATGTCTAAATTGGTGGTAATGGGTTGTTACCTGCTGTTGGGGGAACACACTAATTCATGTCGAGGCATTCAGGAAATACTTGGTTGAAGATATTTTCGTATGCTTCCCCTCCTCCTCTCTTTAGCATCATGTTTTGTGTTGTAAAATTAAGCTATAGTTATTACCATCTATTATTTTGAATAACATTCATTGGCTAACAATAAAGAGAATACATCTAAAAAAAAAAAAAACTAGAAATACCCAGTTCCTGCAACCATTCTTTATATGTTTTAGACTCCAGTCCCCTAATCATCTTTCTTGCTCTTTTCTACACTCTTTCTACACATCTTTGTTACATTGTGGTGACCAAAACTGGATGCAGTGTTCCAAGTGTGACCTTACCAAGGCATTATGAGTGGTATTAACATTTCACGTGATCTTGATTCTATCCCTTTGTTGATGCAGCCTAGAACTGTGTTGGCTTTTTTGGCAGCTGCTTCACACTGCTGGCTCCTATTTAAATGGTTGTCCACTAGAACTCCGAGATCCCTCTCACAGTTACTACTATTGAGCCAAGTACCACATATACTGTACCTGTGCGTTTTGTTTAGCTTTCCATTAATGTAGAACCCAATATTTTTATGTGAACTAAAAGAAGGTCCAGGAG